CTTACTTTCTTCCAAGTGTCTCTCTTAACCCTTGTGAGGAAGCCTGCACTGAAGGACCTTCAACGCTGCCTCACAAAAACCAAGCTAACACGAACAGATCTCTGGAAGACAGACGGTATTTGGAACAAGTTGTCTAGTTTCCTACTGAAAGCAAAGCTGGAGCCATGGAACTCAACAGTGTGCCTAACTTAGCAAATCTCCATATTCATAGCGCTCAACAGTGTGCCTAACTTAGCAAATCTCCATATTCTCAGAAGAGGAAAAACTGGTCCCAACTAGTGCCTTACAGTACTAGGCAATGGAACCCAGGCCTCTGGATGCACATGGCCCAGGCACACAACATGCCACAGAGGTGGATCTACCATGACGCTGGGATCTGACATCTTCCCTGGAGGCAGAGCTGGAAACAAAAATGTCTGTACCTTCCAGCTTTATGTCCTGATACTGATACATTATCCTGGGTCACATAGGCACACTGAAACACAAACAGCTTTAACACGTGTATTTTGAAAGCCAGGCAACCTAGTTTGAAATCTTAAATTCTACTTTTTTCCCCCTCTTGGGGTGTGTGTGTGTGTGTGTGTGTGTGTGTGTGTGTGTGTGTGTGTATGTGTGATGGGGTGTATGCACTCGACTGCACAGGTACATGTATGTGGAAGCCAGAAGGGACTTCAGTGTCTTCTCCATCATCTCTGTCTTGCAGTCTTGGACATGGTCTCTCAGTGAACTGGAAATCCACCATTTGACTAGGTCAGACAGTCAGTGAATTCTTGGGACATGCCTGCGACTTCCTCGGTGCTGGGGCTTCAGACACACACAACTGTGCTCAGCTTTTTATGTGAGCGCTGAGGATTTGAATTTAGATTCTCAGGCTCACACACACCCACTGAGCTAGCTCTCTAGCTCCAAATTCTATTATCTTATTGGAATTTCTCTCAATAGCTGGGCGGGGTAATCCTGACTACTCAGAAGGCTGAGGTGGAGAGTTGCAAATTCAAGATGCCCCTGGGTAACCCAGCGTGACCTCTGTCAAACAAGGAAGCAAGTGGGGGGGGGGCAAGGAGCATAAGGGGTGGGTGGAAGGGGTAGGGTGTAAGGGATAATGGTAAATAAGATTGGAGCTCAGCATGTGAGACTCTCCATTCAATTCTTGGTGGGGGATGAGGTGGTTGTTTAAAACAGCAGAGAGAGAAATCTCAAGGTCCAAATCAGGAGCAGAAGGAGAGAGAGCAAGAGCAAGGAACTCAGGACCGCGAGGGGTGCACCCACACACTGAGACAATGGGGATGTTCTATCAGGAACTCACCAACACCAGCTGGCCTGGATCTGAAAAAGCCTGGGATAAAACCGGACTCGCTGAACATAGTGGACAATGAGGACTACTGAGACCTCAAGAACAATGGCAATGGGTTTTTGATCCTACTGCACGAACTGGCTTTGTGGGAGCCTAGGCAGTTTGGATGCTCACCTTACTAGACCTGGATGGAGGTGGGTGGTCCTTGGACTTCCCACAGGGCAGGGAACCCTGATCACTCTTTGGGCTGATGAGGGAGGGGGACTTGATTGGGGGAGGGGGAGGG